CCCCCATCATCTGACATGTCCCTGCACCTGAGGACAAACCCTTCCCGACCATGACGTGCCCCTTCCCCGGCTCTGCCTCCCCCCCCAGGTGGATCCCCACCAGCTCGGCCACCCTGACCAGGTCCCCCCCACCCGTCCCCATGGAGTGAGCCCGCGTGGGGGTCTCTGCACTGGCGCGGCCCCCCCGGCAGGGAGGGAAGCTGGACGCCACCGCCAATATGAGCGACTTCTGGCACAAGTTGGGCTGCTGCGTTGTAGAGAAGCCACAACCTGTGAGTAGCTTCAGCCTTGGTTGGTTCAGGGAGGGTCTGGGGTCCCGGGGCCGTGGGCTTGGTGGGGGCTGATGGCCTTCATCCCCTACTGCAGAAGAAGAGGAGGAGACGGATCGATCGCTCCATGATCGGGGAGCCCATGAACTTCGTCCACCTGACGCACATCGGCTCTGGTGACATGGCCGCAAGCGAAGGCCTGCCCATGGTACCATACCCACGCGTACGATTGGGGTGGCGGGTCTCATGGTTGGGTGATGAACATCACTATTGGGGTGGTGGGTCCCAGTTGGGTGACTGGTTTCACTATTAGGGTGGTGGAGTTTCATGGTTGGGTGATGGGTGTCGATGTTGGGGGGGATGGAGTCTCATAGTTGGGTGGTGGGTCTCCTAGTTGGGCGATGGGCCTCCTAGTTGGGTGGTGGGCCTCATAGTTGGGCAATGGGCCTCATAGTTGGGTAGGGGGCATCACATTTGGGTGGTGGGCCTCATAGTTGGGTGGTGGGCCTCCTAGTTGGGTGGTGGGCCTCCTAGTTGGGTGGTGGATCTCCTAGTTGGGCGATGGGCCTCATAGTTGGGCATTGGGCCTCCTAGTTGGGTGGTGGGCCTCCTAGTTGGGCGATGGGCCTCCTAGTTGGGTGGTGGATCTCAGGGTGGGGTGAAACCGCCTTACATTTAGGTGACAGCTCTTATGCTTGGGTGATGGGGTGGCAGGGTTGGGTGATGGAGTCTCACAGTGATGGTGACACATCTCTACACCTTCCCCCACAGACCGGTGCTGTCCAGGAGATGAGGTCCAAGGGCGGACGGGAGCGACAGTGGAGCAACTCCCGGGTTTTGTAGCATGTGAGTACCTGGCTGTGGCAGCTCCCAGCACCCGCTGGCCCCCTCCGAGGCACCACCGCTAATTAACGCACCCAAACGAGCCGCCCTGTGACCCGGCCTCTTGGGACTTTGCAGATTCCTGGCTTTTTCAGCCTAAACTTGAACTGCCTGATCCCCCAACCAGAGGAGAAGCTGACCTCCAGCTCCTTAACCCCGCGGTAATTTATGCACAGCCATCCTTGCCCGGCTCCTGGTGGCTTTTGGTTGTGTCCCTCCCTGGCACATCCCCCTTCCCTGGAGGCATCGGGTCGGTGACGTGGGGACGGCCGCCCTCACCTCGTACCTGACCAAGATTTCAGCCGAAAGGACGCGGCCACCATCCCGAAACGCGCCAGGAGCTGCCGGCTGCAACTGAGATGTGCCAAATCCTCCTGGTTTTCCCTTTTTTTTCCACGCCAGCGTCTCCCGTGGGGCCCCTCTCGGTGCCTTGGTGGGATCACGGTGAGGCTGGTCCTGGTGCGGAGGTTGATTTGGTGCCCTCCCAGAAAGGCGTGGAAGAGTAAAACTGGGATTAAACCCTGATGTTTTGGTGCAAAAATCGGGATTAAAACCCCCAATGCTTCAGTGTGGCACCGGCACCAGCTCAGCGCCGACACCACCACCGAGCCCACGGTGCCTCCAGCTGGCATTTCCATCGCCGGCAAACTGCCACCTTCTTTCTTTTTTAGGATAATTTTTTAAATTTTATTTTTATTTTTAAAAGCTCTAAAAAACCAACTAGGCAGCCTCCACCGCCTCGGAGGCAGGACCGTGGTGGGGTCACACCTCTGCTCGGGATTGCCACCGGCATTTCACCGGCACTGGCCAA